ATAGCTTTATAATCAGGCTGGTAGTTAAACTTCATAAAGTTAGGTGGGTGGGATTCCCCAATAGTAGGTTTCAGGCTGCATTTTAAGAAGTGTCTTGATTGTTCACATTTTTAGGGTTATTTTTGTGACATTAATTTAAAGCTAACTGCCTACACCAATTAGTTCAGGTAAGTTATTAAAGCACTGAAGTTTGGCACTGTTTCCCCAGTTAAATATACAAGACTTGCAACAAGTAGTAACACGCTTTCTAAAATCATGTTTATTTTGCAATTACTAGAATACCATTACAGCTAAGTGTGCATATCGATATTTATAGTATCTGTACATATATCTATGTGTGTGTATAGTTTTGGAAGTTGGAAAAAGCCTGACAAAACACTTGGTTACATCAGTCGATACTGATTAACAAAAACTGTTAAGAATTTATTTCTCTAAGAATTTTATCTGTTGATAATTTTACAATTTCAGAAATAACTGTGTAGTAAGAAATGGTAGAATACTCTCAGTGAATAAGAGTGTGGGTAGGTTCTTTTTTTTTTGAGAATTTGCTATTATGAGATTAGACAGGTTTGAGTGGCTATCATTAAGCAAAATTCCTTTGTAATTTAATATGCTTGAATGTGCTAAGTTTCTCTGAACAGTAACAAGATTCTTAAGAAATTAGTTGGAAACTGTGCAAAATATATGTTTTATGTTTTTATAAAATTTTACAATCAAATTTAACTTCATGAGGACTTTGATCAGTAAGGGTATGTTAGTGCCAGGAACTGCTGCTGGGCCTTAAAATAAATGTGGTAGAGAAAATCATTGTAGCTCTGGTGTGAGTGGGGAACAAGAGACTCTGTTCCTGTTTTCTGTTTGTGTGTCATGTGACTTTTTGGTCAAATACATTTATTTCAAAAAATGTTTGGAACTCTGCGGGTTGATATAACTTGATAAGTTACATGATTAGTTGGACATGTGGGAGGGATTCACATCCATGGGCTTTTCACAGATGTCAAATGTCGCCCACAATACACCAGTTTTGGGCTGACAGTAAAAATGCCATCTGTATCCAAAAGTGCCAGACAGAAAGCGCATGAATTTCATCGTACAGCTTATATGGTACTTAATATACTTTTCTGTGCTTTCTCACAGCAAGCACCAGGATTATTTATTGTGAGCAGGATTTTTAAAATGCTCTAAAAGTCTTGCTATATCTGAGTGCTGACAGAAATGAGTTGGGAAGCTCACTAAGCTTCTCTCCTAAGTTTCTAGTGGGGTACAGGGGCCTATACTGGTATGTAAGTTTCCCAGTAAATAATATTTAGAGCTGAAACTCAGAAAATTAGAAAGTTAGCTTTTTTTAGACAGCAGCAGTTCCAGTACTGTTGCTATCCCGACTGCTCGGAGAGCATGCCACTGTCCCAAGCCACCACTGGAGCAATAGAGCCTCCTCAGGATCACTCACAAGATTCTGTGAACCTCTTGCTTCATCTTTATTATATTTCTGTTTTGATAGGAAAAAAGCTTTTCAATTAGTTGAAGGCACATTCTGATCAGACTTTTTAAGCCATTTCATTAACCTAATTTTTATAGTCACCATGCTGGAAACATTTCATCAGTGTTGATGCTACTCCAGAATAGTTAAGGCTACATGAACACTTGTGAAAATAAAGATTCAGGATTAATCCTAAAAGTTTTGTAACCTTTACTGATGCTGAATGTATGTTGTCCTTTCTTTTATTTTTCAGATAGAAGGTCTTCAAAAATAGGGTCATAAAACCAATAGTCTTAATCCTCCTGACATTTCATAAATAGCTTCAGAAAATTCTTAGTACTCAGCGAATTATTTACTTAAAGTCTTTAGAAAAACTACAGTAGCAAAAGTATATAGGGATATGGGGATAATAATCATGACTACTACTAATGAACCACTGTAAGTTTTGTTGTCGAACTGAAATGCGTAAGGTGAAACTTTTTCATTATCTCCATGCATATGCTTTGTTGTTGTAAGAAAATAAGGAAAGTAAATTTGTAAAATATCTCTCTTGCAAAGGTCGCGATCAAAACTACAAACTGGAAAAAATTTCAATACAGTCAAGTTCTCAGATTAATCCTTGCATTTTCAACCTTTTTTCTTCCCTAATCCTATCAGCGTTAGATCCTGCAAGTTAGACACTCAAGTGAAAGGAGACTTACTGAGTTTAGTTCTAAAACTGTGCAGACTTCAGAGTCATAGCAAGAATATTCCCCTGCCATAAAGTCTAACGAGTGCGTTGGTTTAAAGCTCTTGTAAAATGTAGTTTTAGTTTTCTGTTGGGGGTAGTTCTGTCCTCTACCTTTTATGGGGCAATTCCTGACTACTTAGCCAAGGCTCACAAGTGTGCTTTCTCTCCTGTAGCTATTTCTGAGGATTGCCTGGCATGCTGTTTCTCAACTCATCCTGTTTGTGCTCAGAGTCTGCATGGAATATGTATACTGTGGCTGTTTCATGTATATACACAAAGTCTAAAATTGGAATCAGCATTTGTTTTTTTTCAGAGGAGCTTTTAGGTCATATAATGAAAAACAAGTGCGTTTATCTAACCTTACAAATTTCATATTTGTTATGTATGGAAATCTAAATTGATTAATTCAAAAGCAAAGATGCAGTCCTCTGAAATCTCATGTGTTTCATGTTAAACATTCCCATTATGTGAAGAAGAATTGCTGGCAAGAAGAAATATTTTCAGCAGTGGGATCATACAGTGACCATCCTTTGTCCTGGCGTGCATAATTAACATCTTCCTAATGTACAACACTGCTGCACAGGAGCAAAGTTAAAATGGGGCTGTAGTCAGACAAGGTGGTAAAGTCAATCACAGATGATGGAGATTGGCTCAGAAGTTCTATCCCTTTGCCTTCGCCTGGTCAGAGTTGATCCCCAAGGAGAGCCAAAATCAGGATACGGGCTGCTCCCTTGGGAATGTTTGCAGACTGAGATCCTCCTGCCTACCTTTCCTTGGTGCCCCTGCAGAACTGGCCTTTCCCTCAGTCATAGAATCACAGAACCAATCATTTAGGTTGGAATAGGCCTGTAAGATCATCAAATCTCTAACTGTTAACCCAGCCGCTGCTGTGTTCACCACTAACCACGTCCCTTAGTGCCGCATCTGCACCTGCATCTGGTCGTCCTTCTTTAGGGCTATAACTCCGAAGATGCATTTCCACATTCCCATTTGTTTCGCCATTTCAGCTTTCAGGAAGTGGTAGTCACTGCATTCCTTTGGCATGTCTGAAAACTGGAGGGGGAGGAAGCACAGCTTTGCCCCATCTCCACTTCAATCTCATTTTGAGCAGCCGTGGCCAAGCCCAGTTTCTGCAGTCTGGAAATTACACTGCACGGCACAAAAGAGTGCAGTAATTTATACATCAACAGTCGCTTTTCTTGCCATAACATTTCATTGTTCTAGTTCCCTAAATCTGTAATTACATGTCTTTGTCCTGCTACGTGCTGCTTCATAACAAATATAATTCTTACACAGGCTTTGTGAGTGAAAATAATCCTGCTCAATTAGCACAGATCATAAACTTGAATTGTATAGGAGCAAGCAAAATTTGGGGGGCGTCGCATCATCCTTTAATTTAGTAGGTTCTCCCCCCCCCACTACTGCTGGTGGCTTCTTTCGCCAAGCCAGAGGCTGGAGGTCACTGACTGACGCCTACAGCTTTGTTCTGTGCGGATCTTAAAACTCTTAATTTAAACTTTCCAGGAAGGCTGACTGTGAATAAGCTGGATTTACTACGTGTGTTGTTTAAATGCTAGCACTTGGAGAAGGGTGTTCATTAGGCAGCAATTGTTTCGGTCGGTTTTTCAGGCTGATTTTCCATTAAGGAAGATCTTTGGAAAAGGCTGGCAGGCAGGAGAAAGAGGAAAGAAAGTCAGTCTTTTAGGTCTGTGCATTCGAGTACGTTGTGTTGTTGGCTGTCGTTCTAAAACATGCACTTTTTGGCCTTAATTGGAACAAATATATCTTAATGGAGAGAGAAACAAACTTGCTGTGGCTTTTGTCTTTGTGAGAACAAAGCTCCTCATTTTGTGGGTTAATCAATACTATAAGTAATTATTTATATTTTTCTTTCATGAACTGCTGATGTTTGCCTGTTAATTATTTTGAGCAGAAAGATACAATATTATGCCTAAGTGTAAACATTAAAGCTCACTGTCTGCTTGTGTAATAAGTGTTCCCATACTAAGGCAGAAGCACACATGCGTTTCACTTCTAGCAAAAAAAAAAAAAAAAAAAAAAAAAATCAAAAAAGAGCTAAAATAATGAGACAGTAATGGTGGAGTTTATGAAGAGAAATCCTTGTAGTGTAGCGCTCACACTGTCTTTGGTTATAAGTGTTCTATCAGAAGCATGTGTGGTCTTTGGGTCCGTTACAGACCTGTTCTGGGTCTGTAAGCATGGTGCTGCTGAGTGACTGATGTTCCTTTGTGTTATACTAGTAATATCAATCAGCATCTTAATATGTTGTTAACTCTTAAAATCTAAGTTGTTTCCTGTCCCACTTGGCTGTTCAAGGGGTTTGAAAGATTATTCTTGTCATTCTTCCATGTCCAACATTAGCAAAATATGTGCAGGAATAGTAGAAATGTTACCAAAGCAGAAAAACAGAATTGTAGCCCACCAGATACTGCAGTAGGTGCTCTAGATGCCAAATGTGGAAAAAACAGCAGTGCTTGCCAGAGGGAGATGTAAAACCTGCTAGAGTTCCCACAACTGGGATAAGGACTATAAGATTCAATCCATCTCTAATTTCCAAGATCTAAATAAACATCTTGTTGATATTGAGTTAGGCTTAAACTATTAAGATGTGGTTTGCTCAGTCTGTCATTTTGGTTTTGGAAATTGTGTTTGTTCCTTTCTGTTCACTGCAGTTGCTACTTTTCTGCATGAGATTTTATCAAGTGTCTCACATTTTCCCTCTTCTTCTCTTCCCCTACCCCCCCCCCCTTTTTTTTTTCCCCATTTTAGATTCCTTCCTGGACAAGGATTGGTACTATATCCACAGATAGGAGACAAACTGGATATTATATGCCCAAAGGTGGACTCTAAAACTGTTGGTCAATATGAATATTATAAGGTCTACATGGTTGATAAAGACCAAGCAGATAGCTGTGCTATTAAAAAGGACAATACACCTCTACTCAATTGTGCCAAGCCAGATCAAGATGTTAAGTTTACCATCAAGTTTCAAGAGTTCAGTCCTAATCTCTGGGGCCTGGAATTTCAGAAGAACAAAGATTATTACGTCATATGTAAGTTCCATGTTTTTGTTCATTCTTTTGATTATAATTGTTCATTCTTTAATGCACTGTCTTGGCCATTGTAAGCAAACTAAGAGGAAAATAAATGGGTTTGTATTTTTTACCTGAAAATAATTTCTTGTTAGCATATTTTCAACATTATTCCTGATTTCTGAAGGGTCTCTGTCTCTTTTTTCTTTGGTTTGTGTAGATCAAATTAGATCGTACTTCTATGCCTGTAAAGGGCTTCTTTTTTCTGTGCACAGTGTTGCGTCATGTGTTCGCACTGAAAGTTGTGTGCAGCTAAACTGCAGTGCTTTTCCTGCCCAGAGCCCTGGTGATGTACCATGCTGTTCGCCTTGTCCTTAGGTCATCTTATGCCACGAGTAGGAGTACGGTGACCTGGCTATTCTGAGATGGGGCATCCTGTGTGACATGGGTAGCCATTGCTCCATGTGGTCCAGGCACTCCCACAGGAAACGTCTTTTCGTGGTTTTGGTGCCAATTTTGACAGTGTAGTTTCCTCACAAGGGTTACTGATGAGGGGCTGTGGTTGAACATGCCTTTCCTCACAACGTACCTACTGTGTCCATACAGTAGTCAGGAGGGTTCTTGGGCAAAACCTAGGCTTGCATGATTTTGGAATTTCATCCTTTTTCGTGGTCCTGGCTTGCAACATGAATGTGCACGACACAGGCCTCTGTCCAACAAAATAAACTTTGTGTGAGTTTTAGTCTGATGAGGAATTTGTGGCTGAGAGCAAGTCTGGAGGTAGCCACAGTGTTTATTGATTCAAATTACTTATGATGTGTAAAGTTAATGATGTAAATCAGGAGTTAGCATTAGCTGAGACCTCAGCAGTACAACAACAATTTACATTAGTTTAGGTTTTGTCATTGTAATACTGTGTATGCCCTGCATTCTCATTTAGCCCCATGGGCACTTTTGAAGTCTCAAGCAAGTATCACCAGGTATTACGAGATGGAACAAATTCTGTGTTTTGGCTTTTCTGCAGTTACAAGGAAGTTAGATACTGGTGTGTCTTATTTCACAGAATCATAGAATAGTTTGGGTTGGAAAGGGACCTTTAAAGGTCATCTAGTCCAAGCCCCATTCAGTGTGCTGGGATCTCTTTAACTAGGTCAGGTTACTCAAAACTCTGTTACCAGGGATGGCGCATCTAGCATCCCTCTGGGCAAACTGTTACAGTGTTTCACCACTCTCACTGTAAAAAATTTCTTCAATATATCTAGTTTAAATCTACTCTCTTTTAGTTTAAAACCATTAACCCTTGTCCTGTCACAACAGGTCCTGCTAAAAAGTTTGTCCCCAAACACATTTCTGCCATCTCCTTGAAAACTGAAGGATTAATAACTATTTCATGTGATGTCTGCCAGTGTAAATATTTCTTAATTTTTTAGTTAGAAATATGGGTAATTTTGAAAGTACTCTGAGCAAGTATTTTTAAAATGGAAATCGAAATGGAAATGCATTCAGTATAAATTAATACTCACTTCCCAGTTATATCCATTATGGTACACACTGTGTATAAAACAGGTTGTATGTCACAAAAACTAAGAAAGAATTCACTGTATTAAATATTAATTGTAGAAATTACTAAATAACAGTAGCGGGAGATACAAACCACCATTTTTTGGTTTTAAAGATCACTTAATATAGGCGCTTTCTCTTTTAGTCAGGGCATATATAAAAACTTGATCCCACTTAAACAGTATTTAACTTTGACAAACTTCCCACTGAAATCCATTGAGATCCAGGGTAAAAGCGACAAGATTAGCTGTTAATAGATAGTTATCTGTAACTCCATTGAAAATGTGTAGCATAAAAATGACCGTGCTCAAATATTTGGCTTAAATGCAGAAATATGCCCAGAATTTAGTGCTGCTTTTAAAATCATCCACAGAAGACCAGCTGTAGTGGAACAAATGGCACTGTTACAATTATTACCTGAGAATTATGGGCACAAATGGAGCTTTCTGATACCCTGTCATTTCTGTCATATCTATATCATGGATTTACCCAGAGAATTATTAAGTACATCTCATTTTCATTAGTTTTGTATAATTATTTCATTATAGCAATAAGACATAATAGGCATTGCATTTCTTGTAAGATTACAGTATAACTTGGTTGAAAGAACTTAGTCAGCCTTCAGCCTCAAAAATCACACTGGCCTAACTGTAATACTGGAGTGCTTTAGGGTATTACTTTTCCTGCTCATTGTGGCATAAACAAATGGCTAATTTATCACTCTACTGCTAGCATACTGACCAAGCTGCAGCAAGGGTACCTATACATTTTAATAGGCTGGACAAAAAACACCCCAGCCCTGAAAACCCAGCCATCCTGAAGCTAAAACTCTTACTTTTCTGTCATTCAAGGAGAAAACAATAAACTCAGTGATGTTGGTCTCAGAAACGCTGAGAGGAGTAGAAAACAAGGCAAGTGCTCAGCTAGGACACCATTTTACAGAGATACTGAAGCTAGATAGGGTTTTAGCAGTTTGTGTTCAAAAAGTCATAGCACAACCTTGTCAATGCAAGTTCTGGTAGTCAGAATATTTGCTGTCATTTCTTATAATATAATACATCTTAGTCACGTACACAAATCAGGCTATAAATCATTTGCATAAATCCCTCTTCACAGACCTGCAGTTCTTTCTTCTTCTGTCCTTCCTTCCTTCCTTCTTTCCTTCCTTCTTTCCTTCCTTCCTGTTTGATAGCTTTGAGTTTTGTCTTGCTTGTTTTGTTGGGTTTTTTGGAGGGGATTGGAGTGCTATGAAATTAAAGCAATGATGCCTTTTATGTGCCAGCTTTTGATTTTGAAGTATTTTAGGATCTTGCATTCCTTCAACTAAGGGGCATCAAACAAACCTGACACGAGCTTACTGAGCTCAGCATCTTTGCAGCGCTTGCTGTGGCTGCCCCTGCAGCCTAATCTCACGCCATTTATGCTGCCAGGCTGTTGTCAGCCCTTTAAATGTTTTGTGCATCGTCACGGACCTTTATCATCTCACCATTATTTGAAAACACAGTTTGTTTTTCTAAGGTAATAGTATGTGGTTTGTGGAGCTGTATTAAACAGTAAAATCTCTATTCAGATTAAGGGGTTAGTCATTTTGGGATGAGGAATTACAATACAGGATGAAGCAGCTTCCTGAACCCTGTGTACCTTCAGGGACATGTGATTTCACAGGAATTCTTCAAGCCATAATTTTTATATCATCCAGATGTATTCACGATAAGTATACCAGAAGGAGATCTTTTCTAGTCAGTGCTTCCCAAAGCCTAAGCATAAAAAAAAGATGCAAATCTTCTCATTTCACAATAATTCGCAATATTTTAAAAAGTAAAAATGTAAATGAGTTTCTGATACCTGTTTTCACATTTAGTGGTACTTTCATAATAAAAAAAAAAATAATCCATTTCCTGGCAGGATATTCCTTGATATGAGTATCAGTATCCAAAGAGTTAATTCTGTGAACAGCAGTAATTGGAAAGATGATACTGAATGGTATTGTGAAAGTGAATAAATGATGTAACAGTGTGTCCTTGCCTTTCTCTTCTTTGCCATCATCAATTTTTTGTTCCTGGGAAATGAATAGATTCATTTTCCTACAGTTACCTGATTTCAACAGAACTGGAGAAGGTCAAATGTACTTGAGATCTCAGAAGTATTAACGTTTGATTATCCTAAAATATGTGACCATTTAGCTAACATATCATAAGTTTCTAAGGAAATCCTTAATCAGATGCATGAAGGGAGATGCATCATGCCCAACAACATAAATATCTGTGTGAAGGGCAAACTTAAGCAGAAGAGTGTGAAGATTTGCAACTCTGATGTTTGCATTAAAAAGTCTTTCTATGTCTTTGCATGGTTAGGGAATGAAGTATAATTTTCTGCTGTTGTGAATTGCTCAGAACGAGCAATGAGTATCTTCTGAGTACTGAGAGATTGATCAGCAAATACTTGAGTCATGGTGTCACTACTTCAGTACCTCTCTTGGATGCAGTGTTTCTTGTTTGGAAGGGAGATGTGTTAGCGTAGTACAAACACATATAATATGCCAAAGATGTTTACTTTTGGTGAACGGGAATTGACCTGAACCCTTCACTTAAAGGCAGAGGGCATCGAGTGCCCTGCAATACCCTGGATTTGTGCTGAGGGAGCCCCTGGGGAAGCCTGTGGGAAGCTATGCCAGAGGGAAGGGAGCAGTGCTGCCTGCCTTCAAGCCACTGTCAAGCTCCTTACGTAAGCCAAGCAAGCACATACCTCACTCCCTTCATCTGTTCTTTAGCATAAGTAAAGTGAAGTTTATAGGCTGACATCATCAACATTAAAAAATAAGTCACCTGCAATAAAATCTTCACCTGTTCCAAATTTGTAATAGAATGGCTTGGAAGTTGGGAAGGGGCTACAGAGTAGTTCTCTGAAAGATTCCTCTATAAGGCTTGCTCTGCCTGGACCTCATTAGCCAGAGTTGCTGAGCCGATGATGCTCTTTGACTTTGACATTGGCAAAATGGAATATGCAGCTTTCCTTAAATTTTTTTTATCAACTTTTTTCAAGTGACCCACTTACATAATTGGCTTCTGGCTTAAATTAAAAAACATACACACACACACACATACACACACACATATATATAAATTTGGTCCCTTTTTGATTCCTGACTGATTTAAAGGATTATACTGGCTAGTAGCACTACATTTTGGATAACTGCTTTAATAGTGCTGTGGCTTTTAAAATCAAAACAGTCATTCTGAAACTTTAGCATTAGCTGTGTTTGAAAAAATCACAGGTCTTTTTCTGTTTTCACTTTGTCATTCTTGTACAATTAAAGGACAATAACGGTCTGAGGAAGAACATATTAAAGGACATTATGGATTGTGCCTTGAAGTATGGCCCAGCTGGGAAGAATAAATCTCTTTGCGCGGCCAAATAGATTCACATTAAAATAATATTTTAGTATGCTGACCAGTTTAAGC